CGTGATACAGCGAAGACTGGATAGTGTTGAGGATTGATAGTAAGAGTGATGAACAATGACCACTCTGAGGCGTCTTTTTCCGCCATAATACGAGTGTTCCACTCATTTTGTTTACGGAGACAACATTGAATACACTTACCACAGGGGACAATGATAGGAATACGTGCGTAACGCTCGCAGATTGTCAATGCTTTCTTCTGTACTTTACGTAGGACACCGTCTGGAGTAGTCTTTATTTTATTCTTAAGATACGTTACATACGTATCCGAGACAGGTATTTTACCTATCAAAACTGTCGGGTTGGTACATTCGTGTAGAGTAGTAAGATACATATCATTACATTACGCGCACACGTACGTAATTCGCACGCGCGCGCGCTTATTACATTTCAAAAAAGGAATCGCGAAGCGTATTGACCAGATGGGAATCAGCAGGCGTAAGTCCTGTAAACTGGATACGCTTAAAATCACTTATCTCGCACCATATTATCAAGACCTCGAGAATGTCGAAGATAGTACGTGAACGGAACAGGACAAAATTGTCGTTATTCCTGACAGAAAAAACACCGTCGTTGAACTCAACGAAATAGAACGGTTTTTTGATTTTTTTTATCATAAGAAACAGTATTTGGTTTAAAAATTTTCTGATGATGGCGATTGAAGTTGGGATAGTCGTTGAATTCATCGTCAAGCAACGGGCACAGAGCACAACGAACTCCGTGCCAGTTTCCTTTACATTTAGAACAAATCATATTAATACTCATCGTGAAAAATAAAATAGTCCTTATTAGGGTTCTTAGCCTTTAACTCATCTAAGAAAATACGTGCTGATGAATATGTCCTAAACTGGTAAAGAGGGACGTTGTTGTAATAAATGTAATACATAATGTTGTTTGTTTTATCTACTACAAAGATACGCATTATATTTGGTATCCGAAATATAATACGCATCTTTTTAATAGGATAATTCTGACAACAGACAGGATTATTTTGATACGACGCCTGGACTTTTATCTGTGCCAATTACCATACTCATCTGACGGGACAGGAGGTTTACGAGCGCCACGAGTATAGGCACGAGGATTGACCTGACCTGACGAATTGACGACAGTAGGACTTCTCTGCCAACTGTAATGCTGATAAGGAAAATCAGGTGCCATAGCATCCATATACGTACCCGTAGGCTGGAAATCATTTACAGGCGACTGAGGAGTAAGACCACCAGCAAGACCACCTGTGCTAAACTGACCATAAGCGTACGCCGCATCACGGACAGCGCCTGAAAGGGTTGATATAGGCTGACAAATAGTGTTGGTATAGGCATTCATAATCATAGCCTTTGCGATTGCCTCTTTCTGATTGATATCAGCATCCTTAACATCTAAATCCTTGACAAGTCCGTCAATTTCAGCCTGCAACTTATCAATTGACAACCCTGTAATCTTAGAAAGATTTTCAGTAGTGATATTAGACTGAGTGAGTTCGTTACTAAGCATATCAAGCCTACTATTGTAAGAATCCATAAAGTAACTGTACTCAGCGTCAGTAAGGAGGCTATTATAATAAGAACTCCTGTCGTGAGCGTTAGCGTCAATACGTGCGGTCTGAGCATTGAACTTCTCTAATGAAAGATAATCATCCATTTGTTCAAACTGTTTACGAAGTACGTCAATACGCGCAGAAACCTCATCGTTCATAAGACCCTGATACTTTTCCTGTAAAAGTTCAGTTCGAATACGGCAACTTTCAAGCACCTCAGAAACATCAGCAGTAACTTTCATATTACGCGACATATGTTTCTTATACTCTGTATCTGCCTGAATGTTAGGTATCATATTATAAAGTTCACTCGCAGAAGCGTAGAGTTGAGAAGTGCGAGCAAGACTCTCAGCCTTACTTAGCTCAAACTCCTGACCAAATACAGATACTTTCTGTTCAGTATTGGTAGCCTCAGCGTTATTGGCTCGTGCCTGGGACTTCTTCTGTTCAATGTCTGCCATAGTCTGACCAACTGACAAAGCACCTGCCAGAGAGTCAGGCGCTTTAGCACCAAGATTTGACAAATTGGCAATCTCCTCAGTAGGCGAATTACCTGCCGAATCAGTTGCAACAGGGTCGTAAGTAGCATCGTTAGGATTTAGACCTGCAAGAATACGCCTGAAACGTTGCATAGAGGGACTGTTGTAAACCTCATCGTGTTGACGGTCTGCAAGGAACTCGCGACGATTGCGGTCGTGTATAGCCTGTTCATCTTCTCGCTGTTGTTTACGAGCCTGTTCGTTGTATTTGTTCTGCAAGGCGGTCTGTGCAAGTGCCGTAACTCCACCGATAGCACCTGAGATAGCCGAAGCGCCAAGACCTGGCGTTTTAGGAATGTTTGTATTTTCATCTGCCATATTATTTTTGATTGTGATATTGCTGACACCTAAAAAGGATAAATCCACTAAGTCGCTGACTATCAACGTGGTGTCAGTTTTGCCGTAAGAAACAAGTCTAATAGGCAAAATTTAGCGGGTCAGTTGACCACCAACCCGCTAAACAATTATTCTGACTTATCTGTCAAGTGTATACCCATTCTGTCAGCAAGACGGTCGCCAAAGTCGCCATTATTCTTATTAGCATATTCAAGAACATTGACGTACATAGGTGGACAAGAATCCATATCAATTTTCTTTGTATCATCCATCTTTGCCATATAATCGCCCGTACGCTCGCCAAGAACGGAGTCGCCACGCAAAGCAGAAGCGACTTCATCCTTAATTGACTGATACAGTTCCGAAGTTCCAACGACCTCAGACTTTTTATGAATGAATCTTACAAACATAATTAGAAATCGGTGCGGATAGTTGAAGGCAACTGACGTGTAACAGTACCACTAAAGCGCATAGTAGCAATAATAGGGTCGTAGTCAGGATTTGTATCCTGAAATACCTTGTTGACCTCATCATCATCTGTTATATACAGTTCCTTGATAGTAGACGGACTGATAGTAAACTGAGTAGACGGGAATCGGTCTGAACGATACATCTTGTTTGAAGTACGCATATTGCCGTGCACCTCATTATTGACGCTCATATATTCACGGTACTTTTCCTCATAGCCGAAACGTTCAGAACGCTGATTTACGTCAGGGGAATATTCGTCAAGGAAAATATCCTGATAGCCGACACCGCCGAGCGTAGGGATAAGATAGTCGTAATAGTTAGACTTAAGAATGTCGCGAGGGATAGCACGAGCGTTGCAAACGTGCGCAGGACGAATCCAAGCCATAACCATAAACAAACCGTTTTCCTCAGCAGTCCAATCCCAACCGCCTGTGTTATCACGAGAAACGCCGACACCTGCAAACTGACCTAACTGAGAATCAGGCGTATTTGATGAAGTCTGAGCAACGTCGCCGATAGTTACAGAGAACTCACGGAATCCAACGACCTGGGAGCGCTGGAGAGTAGCGTCAGAAACCTTTGAGCCATAGAGCGCCGCAGTATTGTCGCGGTAGTCGTAACCCATACGTGTTATCAAATCCTTGAACTTTGCCAACTGCCTATTAAAGAAGTTCTGTTCAACAGTAGCGCCGACAGGTGTCTCGCCAAGTTCTGCCATTACTTTCTGATAACGAGCGTCAGTAAATCTATCCTTTTCCCAAAGAACAGGCATAAGTTCACCGCGCTGGAGGTATGGAGCGAAGAACGAAAGGGATGGAGTCTGATAAAGGCGATGATTAAGTGTTGTACTGTCAACAGGAGAACCAGCGCTGAAAAGCATACTAAACGGCAACTGTTCTGGATTAGCAGAATTAATGTTGTATGCGTGATTGAGATAAGCACAACCAATCATATCAAGAAAATCGTCGTGCTTAGTAAAGTTTTCATTGAGGAACCAATCCGCGTAAATACGCATATAAGCGAGGTAACGGATACAGTTAGCGGTAAAATCGCCCTTAAGCGAGAGAACGAAGAAATTTCTGACATAATTAAGATACGAGTCCATTACAGAGGTTATCGTAGTCTTACCAAAAACGTCAGACCACTCAGGAAGTCCACTGATATTTTCGCCGAATATATCACGGTCAACAACCATCATAGCAGTCTTAAAAACATCAGAACCATTATTGACATAATCAATAAAGTCAGGGACATCCGCAAGACCCGATATTTTAGAATGCGTACCGAAAACAGTAGCAATATAATAATCGGCAGGGACGAGAATACCATCACGAGACTGAGAGCCGACAAAAGAATCAGCAGCCGTCTTGACAACCTGTCCAGTCTGAATGTCAAGAGTATAGATATGAGAATTAAGGTTGATAACATCCTCAGCGCTTAAATTACGAGATACACCATAAGTCCAATCTTCGCCATCCCAATCAATAGACATTTTATTAAGAGACATCTTTGAATCTTCAGCACCTGTACCAATATAATAACCGAGATGGTCAAGGATTGAAGACTCGAGTTTATTATCGCCCATAATTTTTAACTGAGCCATAGCCGGAAAAACACGATTGGAATCGTCAGAAGCAGGGTTAAAGAAGTGCCTGGCATCAAGGATATATTTAGCCTTGTTCTTAGCGTTGTTGCTATTACCCATAAACTTCTTGAACCATTCCGAATTGAAAAAGCCGTCAAACGAATGATATGGAACGAAGAACGCACCATAAGTAACTTTGTAATTGTTCATTACAGGAACCTGCAAAGCCGCGAAACGTGTAAGTTGGTCAACATCCAGTTTGATACGGTTACCCTGCATCATTTCGTTAACGTAAAGAGGTGTAAGCCTTCCGATTTTCATAGACGTGCTATGTGTCTTATCAGCAGGGAAAAGAGAGATAGGTATATTTTCGTGTTTGTTAAGCCTATCAAAAGGATTATTAAGTTTCATACAATAATTTTGTGATTTCAAAGATTTGTTCAGATAGAACCTGTATCCACTCGTAAAGCCGTGTCTGCTCCTGGACTATCGTAATGTAATCAACATATTCACGAAAAGACAGGTATATGACACAGGCTATAAGAGTGATAAAGGCTGACAGTCTAAGACTCCTCGCCGTCGTCGCAGATATCTTTAACTTTGGAGACGATGTCAAGAAGAATTGAGATAATGACAGGAAAGAGAGTGAAGAAATTTACCTTTTTCGCCATAGCAATTAGAATAAGTGATTAATAGTGATTGTTTAAAAAGCCATATTCATAGCCATTGAAGTACGCAAAGATACGATAAATACCGTCAGCAAAAAGACAAGTTACCAGATTTTCATCTACAATTGTCTTATAACCAAATGTTTCAGGAATTTCAAGACAATAATGATACCACTTGTTTGACTTATGATATATCCTGTTCAACTCTGTCTTAATCCCATAACGTAGGTTGAAAATCGCCTGAATGTACTTGCATATCTGATATTTCTGACGAATGTCGCAATTTTCGTGTATCGTCAATAACACGTATGCGCCATTGGGAAATAATATGGTCAAGTCCGGCCACTCCGAATTTACGGGCAACGGATTTTTCCGAAAAGTCAAGCGATAATCCATCAAGTCTGTCATCGCTAAATTCGTCTCTAACGGGTGGCGTGTCCATTCCTGAGTAACATAACGGAGTTGTCTGTTGGCGAAATCGCGCGTTAATGTCTCCTTTGTAGATACCATAATCTGAGTCTAATTTGAAGTTGAACAAGTCTGGATAACGAACAGGTTCACTATGTAATTGAGAACGGTATGTATCATCGTTAGTATTGACGAGATTGATACATCTTTGAAGATAATTACCATAAGCCTTAATGAATTTAGTGCGATAATATTTAGGAATAGGACAGAAATAAGTAAAGTCGCCACGCTGATTGTTAGGCATAATAGGCTCAATTTCCTCGCGACCTATCAATTCCTTATTTTTGTAGAGCCATTGAGTTCCAAGACCAAGAGACTGACGATGAAACGGACACTTATCGTGCTCCTCATCCGCCTGGCACTTACAAACATACTTAGTTACATATCGTGCCGCCTCAGCGTTACATTCCTGTACTTTTTCAACGAATCCGATTTTGTATTTGTCCGAAAGGAGCGTGGACAATTCTGCCTCAAAGTACGTCTGTAAACGCGGCTTTCTTCTCTTCTTCTTCGGCGAGGTATTAACGAGGTACGGTCTGACAGACAAATCAGTTCGCCACGATAGGAAGGAATTGAGTAAAACCTGTACTTCTGATTTAGGCTGAGTGAAAAAGAGGATAACGTGAAAGTGAAGACGACCAAAGTCGCTACCATATTCAGCGCAACAGTAGTAACGGAATTTAAGACCGAATTTGCGGAGTTTTTTGAAGAACTTTTGAACATAAGGATAGTAAGTATTTTTAGCAAGGTTAGTAGTCATACAATCCAGTTCTTCGCCTGTATGCAGTGGTATCAACGCAGAGTAGTGTTGAGGATTGATAGTAAGAGTGATGAACAATGACCACTCTGAGGCGTCTTTTTCCGCCATAATACGAGTGTTCCACTCATTTTGTTTACGGAGACAACATTGAATACACTTACCACAGGGGACAATGATAGGAATACGTGCGTAACGCTCGCAGATTGTCAATGCTTTCTTCTGTACTTTACGTAGGACACCGTCTGGAGTAGTCTTTATTTTATTCTTAAGATACGTTACATACGTATCCGAGACAGGTATTTTACCTATCAAAACTGTCGGGTTGGTACATTCGTGTAGAGTAGTAAGATACATATCATTACATTACGCGCACACGTACGTAATTCGCACGCGCGCGCGCTTATTACATTTCAAAAAAGGAATCGCGAAGCGTATTGACCAGATGGGAATCAGCAGGCGTAAGTCCTGTAAACTGGATACGCTTAAAATCACTTATCTCGCACCATATTATCAAGACCTCGAGAATGTCGAAGATAGTACGTGAACGGAACAGGACAAAATTGTCGTTATTCCTGACAGAAAAAACACCGTCGTTGAACTCAACGAAATAGAACGGTTTTTTGATTTTTTTTATCATAAGAAACAGTATTTGGTTTAAAAATTTTCTGATGATGGCGATTGAAGTTGGGATAGTCGTTGAATTCATCGTCAAGCAACGGGCACAGAGCACAACGAACTCCGTGCCAGTTTCCTTTACATTTAGAACAAATCATATTAATACTCATCGTGAAAAATAAAATAGTCCTTATTAGGGTTCTTAGCCTTTAACTCATCTAAGAAAATACGTGCTGATGAATATGTCCTAAACTGGTAAAGAGGGACGTTGTTGTAATAAATGTAATACATAATGTTGTTTGTTTTATCTACTACAAAGATACGCATTATATTTGGTATCCGAAATATAATACGCATCTTTTTAATAGGATAATTCTGACAACAGACAGGATTATTTTGATACGACGCCTGGACTTTTATCTGTGCCAATTACCATACTCATCTGACGGGACAGGAGGTTTACGAGCGCCACGAGTATAGGCACGAGGATTGACCTGACCTGACGAATTGACGACAGTAGGACTTCTCTGCCAACTGTAATGCTGATAAGGAAAATCAGGTGCCATAGCATCCATATACGTACCCGTAGGCTGGAAATCATTTACAGGCGACTGAGGAGTAAGACCACCAGCAAGACCACCTGTGCTAAACTGACCATAAGCGTACGCCGCATCACGGACAGCGCCTGAAAGGGTTGATATAGGC